CCTTCAACCGCCGTTCCATCTTCATCTTGTCTTGTAGCTCGCGAAAATCAAGGTCAGCTTTTGCAGAAGCCCTAAATGCCTCCGTTTTTTGTGCTTCCACTGCTTCTTTCTCTTTTTCTAGTGCCTGCACCTCCTTCGACATGGTTTTCAAGTCTTTTTCAATCGCCTTTGACTTCTCATGTGCCTCCCTCACACTGTTATGCATTGAGCCCGACTCCTGTGAAGCACGCACCCTGCTCTCCTCTACCTGTATTTCATGGTAAAAGAAAGATATGTTAGGTCCAGTTCCAAGATCGCTCTCTCATGATAAAGCTGTAACATACCGAAATCTAGAATTTTAGGAGACAGAACAAAAACACACTACAAGCAAGGGGACGTGAAAGGAGAGGACAAAAGAAGAAAGCTCAGGGTAGAAAATAAGGGGTAACATGGGGAGGCAAAGGCCAGCACAGGATAGGACAGGAGTCGCACGACACAAGAAGAGGAAGGCACACAGGAAAGCGGAGAGGAGAGGAGAGGGGTAAAGAAGAGGAGAAGAGAAGAGGAGAGGAGAAAGAGAAGAAGAGAAAAGAGAAGAGGAGAAGAAAAGAAAGGAGAAGTGATCAGATAAACAAAGAAACACACACACACATCCTGGAAGGAGCAAAGGGTGGCACTGGACATGGGACATGGGAGGCGGAAAGAGGGAAGGGGGCAGGAGTGGAGGTGAAGTTGGGACATGTAGACACAGAGAGAGAGAGAGAGGGTGGACAGACACTTACTTGGTTGGGCGACTATGGCCTGGCACTGAGCTTTCTTGGAAAGCAGTGTAGAAGTTGTAGTCTCTCGATGCTGGGATGTTGATTGTCGCATACTAATTGAACAAACAATTGGTTGGGGCTGAACGAGGTTCCGGAGGATTTACATGGTGGCAAGAAGGGGGATCGCAAATCGGGGTGTTGATGTTCTTTGCGGCAAGATAATTCAAGAGGTCCGTTGCTCCAACAGGCAAGGCACAGACATACACACATGCAGAAACACGAACACAGCACCACAAGTTCCCCACAACCCCACTTGCACAAAACTGTCCCCCTCGGAACCCCTTGCGCCGGAAAAGATTGCAACGAAGGTGTACACTCTTGGAAGAACAAAGCGCCGGATTCCTCAATCCACTGTTTTCACTGTTTTGCAACTTTTGCTACATAAAAATTGCTGCAAGCTGTCCCTAACTTTATGATGAAGCGCATGCCAGATCAAAACAAATGTCACCCAGCAATGGGACAAACTGCTGAACAACTCTTATCATTGAGTTTTGTTAGGATGAACCGTTGAACCCTCTTGTCAATACAATAATGTGAATACAATAATGTTAAAAAGCCTCAAGGATGCCGTCCTCCCCCGAATAGAACGTACGGCGTACGGTCATTTTATCACTATATATCTAGACTGACAGTTGCCCCAAAATACAGGCATAACGACTGCACGTTCTATTCGGGGGAAGATGGTAGTTGTTCATCTTCAGCTTTTCAGGGCAATTTCCAGCGGATCCAACAATGGAAAATAAAAAGCGTCGGATTCCAAGTACGCTGTCGCTGTTTAACAAAAAGCAGGAAAAAAAAAGGGAACCAATTTGTACAAATTCCTGATTGGTAAGGATAAGGGGGGTTCAAACCTCCTCCAGTTTCTGTCGCGTATCCGCGAGTTCCTTGTCATGAAGTGTGTACTCAAGCGATCGCCGCTGCTTGTCTAGCTGTTGGTACTTCTTCAGCTCCTCCTTTTCTTCTTCGAGCTCTTTTAATCGCTCCTCAATGAACCTTACCACCTCAATGATCTGATTCCTCCTATTCTCTTTTCCCGACGCATGCACAGATAATTCAGCAACACAAACATCCCAAAGTTCCGACAGAAGTGCTTGTCAAACAGGTGTTTTAACTTTTAACTTAGCTTTTTTTTTTTTTAAACAAGAAAACAGGGCCTTGCGGTCCTGGCTCCATGTCCATTCTGGGGAGCGTCAGTGCGGTTCCTACCCCACCTGGGGGGCAAGTCTGAAAAGTGCAAGATGTACTCACCCAACGCTCCTCCCCCCCAATTATGGTTGGGGTCCCAAGTGGACGGCATTCATTTCTTCCCGTGAGAAGGATGTACTATCCCTCACCCCTGCCTAAGCTAGCCTCACCGAATTGATTGCTTCTAGAACCCTCTCCCCCATGGCCAGGATCAGCATTAAACTGTGCTGGTGCCCCCCGCAACGCCCCCCCCCCGCCCGGAGATACCCCAGCAGGTTGTGTGCCTAGCCTCTAACAACTCACTGCTCTATTTATTATATTTTCTTGTTCTTTCTCGTGACAAAAACAAGACCTAGAAGTCGGTCTTAAAGACATTCGTTTTTCTCTCCTTTCTTTTTTTTTTTTTTTTTTTTTTTTTTTTTTTTTTTAAAGGGGGTCTTTTTTTTTTTTTTAAATTTTACACAAAATTTTTTTTTTTTTTTTTTTTTTTTTTTTTTTTTTTTTTTTTTTTTTTTTTTGAAAGGGGGTATCCATCTCATTTCATCAGAATTGCAACCAGACTTCTTCAAAGTTCTTTTGCTTCCTTTTCCTTTTGTTCCTTTTCTAACTGGAGAAGCAGCAGGAAAACGGAAAAAAATACAAATGAACTTCATAAGAATCATAACACGAATACAACCAGGTGCGATCAAATTTCCATGAAGTGACTGCCTGTATCATCTTTTTCCCCCTTTCCTTTTACTTTCTTTTCTAAGGGGAGAGGAGGCAGAGGGAGGGGAAATGGAAAATAGAAACAAAAGGCAATGCAAGCAGGTTGTGAAAAAGCATTCAAAAATGTCAGATTTCCACATGAAGTGACTCTGTCTGCAGATTTTTCTCTTTTTCCTTTTCATCCTTTTTCCTAAGGCAAAGGATGCAGGAGGAGAAAAAAGGGACAACAGAAAAAAAAGGAAAAAAAAAAAGGGAATGCAAGCAGGTGTGAACAATGTTCAGACTTCAATGAAGTGAGTAGTCTGTCTGCAATTAAGTAGGCTGCACCTATGATGTCTCAACTCTCCTGTGCTACCCTACAAAGACTTGTCTATATGATACAAAATTTTCCTGGCTGAAAAAAAGAAGCTTCTGTTCATGGCTTAAGCCTTCAAACCGCCAGTACATCCGGGGCTTTTTCGCCGAAGCGACGCAAACCCCTGCACGCCCACAATTGGCCGAAGCGCCAGCGCCGAGTTTTTTTCTTTTTGTTCCGGCTGGCGGCAGCAGCCATATTCATCCGGTTGCCCCGAGCCCCGAAAAGCCCCAAAATTTTCGGTGGTGGCGAAGAGTTCTTTTTCAGAAGTTTTTCTGCCTTTCTTTTTCCTGCAAGGCTGGGGCCGTGTGCCGGTGGTTTAAGGGTTGGTTTTTCTGATTTACAGTCTCAGTCTCTCAGATTATAATCGCCACATTGTTTACCCTTGACAAAAGTTGACACAAAAGTTCAGACAAGAGTTGCAACAAGAGTTGACACAAGTTGACACAAAAGTTGACACAAAAGTTGACACAAAAGTTGACACAAAAGTTGACACAAAAGTTGACACAAGAGTTGACACAAGAGTTGACACAAAAGTTGACACAAAAGTTGACACAAAAGTTGACACAAGAGTTGACACAAGAGTTGACACAAGAGTTGACATTGGGCTACCACGAAAAAAGAGGCTGTTGTGATTATCCTAAGCCCACAGATTAATAGGAACCTGGATTCCAGCAGTCTCCTTCTTTTTCTTTTTTTCCCCTTTTGCATAGGTTTGTCATGTTCAGACAGAGGTCTGCCAAATACCGTTTCGCGGTTTGGCCCAGTGCACCGTCATTTCATGTTTCGGCGCAGTTTGTCTGTGTCTGTGGCTGGGCCTGTGTTCTCGTCTGTGGCTGGGCCCATGTCAGATTATGGTCTAGGCGCTGCTGCCGACGCAGCGAGGTAGGGCATGGACATTGGTGCAGACCCAGGGCCACACACACATTCCGGCCTGGTCCTCTATGTACATGGGACCACGGAGTCCTCTCTGGGCCATCGGACGTGAGTTTGATCCCACGACCTAGGGGAGACGCCGGATAGAGCAGCCACCAGGCTGGTTCATTCAAACATTGGCACCAGGCTGCTGGGTTGATGAGTGGAGCAGCCCAGGGGTAGAGAAGAGTAGAGTAGCGCTCGCTGAGTAGAGGTAGGAGGAGGAAGCAGTAGTGGAAGTCTGCCACTAGCCATACCTGGTCTTCTCTGTCAAAGTACCTGCAGTGCATGTGGCTCAAGACTCTTCCTTTCACCGATCAGTATTTCTTCAAGAGAGAGAGGGAGGGAGAGAGAGAAAGAGAAGAGACTTCCATTCTTCTTCTTCTTCTTCTTCTTCTTCTTCGTCGTCGTCGTCGTCATCGTCGTCGTCGTCGTCGTTGTCGTCGTCTTCTTCTTCTTCTTTTCCTTCTTCTCCTCACCTTATCTTCATCTTCTTCTCATCTACTCAGAGAGAGACAGAGAGACAGAAAGGGCGTGTTGGGATTGTTCTGTTTGGAGAAGTTCTCCCCAAGTTGAGATCTGTGAATATTGTGTGTGGAGTTGAGTTGAAAGGGACGAGACTGAGGTGGAAGACAGACTAGTGATTATTACTTGGTGCTTCCATTTCTCTTCTTCTTCTTCTTCTTCTTCTTCTTCTTCTTCTTCCTCCTCCTCCTCCCGTCTCTCGCCATTCCTTTGTGCATGATGATAGCAGGGAGGTGTCTTCCAAGATTTGATCCCTCACTGATGCGAGTGAGCTCAGATCTGTGTCGCATTGTCATTTTGCTCCATCATCAGGTCAGTCCATGTCCCATTTGAGGCTTCCACTGTGTTACGTTGTGCCGCTCTTCCCCATGTTGATGATCTTTGGACTGCGCAGTGCCGACAGTTCACCCCCAACATGCATCAGTGGTGCTTTCTAAGAGGTAGAGGCATTTGTTGGTGTCAGCATTTGCTGCTATAACTGTTAATAAAGTTAAATAAACAAGTGATGAGTTTGAATTCTGATGGAATTAGATGAACTACAAAAATGTCATAGGCTACAGCGTTTTAAAGAAAGGAAGGATGCTGCCCCTTTGCCTCCACACTCCGACTGGCACCTTTCCGGAGGGTGACCTTAGAAAATCCAGAGGCTTGTCAGACTACTGACCTTCCAAACGATTGAAACAACCTCATCTCACAGAGACTTCAAGCGCATCTACGGGTTCGCGGTGATGAATAAGCAGAGGAACTCAGCTTCAAAACTTGTTTTCTTGGGTTTTTTAACTTGTTTTCTTGGGTTTTTTAAATTGTTTTCTTGGGTTTCTTAACTTGTTTTTCTTGCTTTTCTATTGCCCCCACCTCAACTTCAACTTTCCATTTCCATACGCTGCACCCAACCTTTTTTTAGGACGGAGTGCGTACTCACCTGTGTCCTGCATGATCTTCAGACTCTCTCGGCGACGCTCTTCGTAAACACGGGTTCCTCCAATCTCCTTAAGAAGATCCAATCGCTCAGTGTCTCGCATTGTCGTCAAGAAAGCAATCTGCAGCACGTAGTCAGCCAACAACTCTTCATCCATCAAACTCATGAAGTCGTGAAGAGATAGCAAAACACACAGCATAGGTGAGTCCTCTCTCTGGCATGGACAGAGAACCATGAAAAAAAAAAAAAAACAAGGCGTCGCCGCCCCAGTCCCGTGGGGGGGATGGTAGTGTGCACACTGGCAAGCACACGCCGGACATGCATTTGCGTAGGCATGGTGCACTGCCGAGTTGCACATTCATGGGGCACCAAAAAAAACGCAAAAAAAAGAATACAAGAAAAGAAAAAAAAAAAAATAGTACACATTTTATCACATATATCTATCAACCAAAATAGCGCACTTTGCAAAACAAACGATAAAACGAGACAAACATGGAAGAGGACACTGAAACCGCTTTTTTGCCTCTTTTCGCGCAGTTCTTCGTTTTCTTTCCCTTACTGTTGCCTTTTTTATTATTTCATCTTTTAGCTCCCCCCTTTACTGTGCGTCATAGAGAGCTGCCTGAACCGTAGGCAGTGAGGGAGAAAAGCACAGCAAAAGAGGGGCTGTGACAGACTGTTTCATCGGAGTTTCATCAACTCATCATGAGCTTGAATAGACAATGTAAAATGTTACTTTGAGCAACTTTTGGCTGAGACGCTTCCTTCTTTGGATTTATGGAGCCCGAAAAACAGTTTTCTGAATGTCGTCCTTGATCTCTCTCCCTCTCTCGGCGCTGCGATTTACCCTACTCGACTACTTTCAGCCTCACTCGATGCTTGGTCGCACAAGACCACAGCAGCGCTTCCGCAACAATCTCAAATGGAAATTATGTTGATGCTTTGCTGCAGTCGGACTTTTGCATTGAACGCTTCAGTGCCCCGGCCTGGACGTCCCAGACCAGTACCCTCACCTGTCAGCCGCGGCCAGCCTTCATCACATCCAGAGAGTTCCCTTTCAGATCTAACTACCTAAACCTACGGGACTGGGACTATGGTACATGGGACTCTGGAACTTCGAGAATGGGACTTGGCACAGAGTGCTGATAAGTAAAAAATCGTTCCACAAATCGATCTGCATAAAAAAAGAAAAGAGAAAGCGAATACTGACAACGCCATACGAGAGGAGAAGTGGGAGATTTGCCGCGTTCATGGGTAGTAAGGAGGACTGCAGCAGAGTCCATAATTGGCCTCGAGGAGACCGACTATCAGCTGGAGGGAGGGAGAGAGTGTGAAAGAGAGGAAGGGGGAGGGAAGAAAGTGAGACAAAAAGAAGAGAGAGAAAAGAGGGGAAGCACACAAGAGAGACAGAGACAGAGAGAGAGAGGATAGGAGGCCAGAGGGTACGAGGAGGTGGAGCAGCAAGGGGACAAGGAAGGGAGCCAAGGAGATAAGAAAGGGAGGGAAGAAGGTGCGGGAAAAGGACAGGAATGGAGAGCGACCCCCAGCCCGGGAGGAGAGGATACCAAAGAGTAACGAACAGGCCCTGCGCTACCCACCTTTCCCTGCTGCACAACATAGTATGGATTGGACTTGGAAAACCCTGCACTCTCTAGGAGGTTCATTACTTCACTTTTGCTGCAGCAATCGCAAACGATCATCAGTCCACAAAAAAATGTTCAGCACTTTGACCGATAATGAAAAACGACATTGACAGACTATACAAAAATACACAAAACACACAGAGATCACAATCATCCTGTGGCCGCCAGTGTGGCGTATAAAGGTAGGTCACCGTAGGTGCTACATAAATCTTGATTCTCACTCTAGAGGGAGAGGAGTTCATGCTGACTCTTTAGAATATACCAAGGGAGGAGAGTATGGCTTTTCCATCCTCCTAGACATAGCAACACACCAAGATAGCGAACATAGAGAGAGGTAGGTACTACCTTCTTCCCCCGAATACAACGTACGGTCATTATAGCTGTATTTGAGGCATCTTTCAGTCTAGATACAGCTATAATGACCGTACGTTGTATTCGGGGGAAGAAGGTAGGTTCTTAATAAATCTTGGACTGCCCGCAAGGAAACGAGCATTTGTTTAAAAAAAACACCAGTCGATCCGAAGCTAAATCTACGAACCCAAAAAATGCATTTTGAGACGAGCTTGAAATCTACAGTGCAGGCGGTTGCTTTTTCAAGCCGTTGGCCCTTTCCCACCGAGCCGCCACCGGGCCTGAGCACTGTAGATTGTGGAACAGTACTCATATACTGATTCTACAGCAGATTCACTGTAGAATCAGTATAGATTCTACAGTGCCGCCTGTGGATGGACTGGTGGTTCAAGTAAAACTTCAATGTCACAAAGCTGCAGAGAGCTTGTACTTGCGTTGCCAAACTTGGAACACACTTCCAGTTTTCAAAACCAGGAGTTCTCGATACAACTTTGTTGCCTTTTAATCGTTTACGGCTCTTCTAGCTTTTCCAAAACGCAATCTCATCACATTCATCCATAGCAACCCTTGCCCTCTCCTCCCCCTCTCCTTCCCTTCCTCCTCCTTTCCCTAACCTCCCTCCTCCCCCTCCCCCCCCCCCCCCCCCCCCCCCCCCCTTCTCGCCTTCCCTATCACCGCGAAACCCTTTCGATGTACTCCTTATTATTATCGAATCTGAAAGCTAGTTACTCCCTCCAGCCTTGTTGCTGAACGGCACACACATGTAGTTGTCTATAAACAGACAACGTTCAAATCCTGACAGATACAACAACGTCAGCGGCTAGCCCCTATTTAAACGCTCTTTTTTTTTCTGCGAAAAACTGCAACAAGGTAGATATGAAACAGTGGAAATGGCAGAGAGCAGAAGGTTACTGATGATTTTGAAGTAATTTAGACTCCTCGTATGTAATTTAGACTCACGGTGGCACAGACCATGAGTCTAAAGACTCTAAACTTATTAGAAAAGCGAACACCACTGGCATACTTTTACATGTTTCTTATCCAGGAAATATTCATCTTTCTTGACCCCTATGGTACATACACCATTGAAATAATGGGGTGGGAGGGGAGGGGAGGGGGTGAAGAATTTGAGAGGTAGTGGAAAAGGCACAAACGACATTGGAAGATTTGAAGGCGATCAAAATGCTCAATTGAAAAAAGTAATAAACAAAAACGACATTGGAAGATTTGAAGGCGATCAAAATGCTCAATTGAAAAAAGTAATAAACAATGGCATACTTTACGTGTTTCTTGTCGAGAAAATATTCGTCTTTCTTGACTCCTATGGTACGTCGAAGTCGCACCTCTTCTCTGTCCACCTGAAGAGCCAAGAAGACGGAGAGAAATACTCTCTGATGTCAAAACAGGACTGGAATGCTGCTGAGAATAATCACTTTCTCTTCATCAGAGTACCTCAATAGCTCAAACTTGAAACTTACCTTCTTTTTTTTTGTGTGTGTGCACTGTGCATATGTGCACTCATTTGCCTGACCAACGTCCACATCACGGACACTTTCCCGATTTTTATCAAAACTTGCTCCCCCTTGAATTTTTTGACCCAAAACTTGCTCCCCCACCAGGCTGCTGCTTTGCTTTTTTTTTTTTTTTTTTTTTTTTTTTTGGACCATTTCTCGATTTATGTGTGTCATCCTTGCGCAGGGGCCCATTTTGCTAATCTTCTCTCTCTGTATCGTTCCAATTTTAACCGACGTCCCGAAGGACTACTACTAGGCTGTTTTTCAAGTGTGCCCGGGCAAGAATTTTGTGCCCGAACCGCCCGGCCCGGCAGAACCTCCAGACTCGATCATTCAAAACACGGGATGCCTTCCAGCAGCACCAGTGCATGAAAAAAAAAAGTTAAAAAATACCATAAACTCTGGAAGGAAAAAAAAAAAAAAAACTGTGTTTATAATTGCAATGCAAAGTTGCAAACAGCTTTCGGCTGAGGGTCACCTCAGAATCCCTTACTGAATTGAAGATAAAAGAGAAAGTAACAAAATCAAACTGAGGCACCCCCCTTTTTTAGAGCCCTTTAAGCCCTTTTGAGGGCCCCCAACGGACAACACTGGAAAACATAAAAGAGCCCCACCGGCCCAAAAAAGAAAAAAAAAGTCCAGTTCTTACGTCCCCAGGGTACCTGCGCGGGAGGACAGCGGGGCGACCTGCACGGGTGCCCAGCTGGGCCCCCCTTGGTGGCCTAGCTCCCCCATGATTTTCTCCCAAAACTTACTCCCCCCTGGATTTTCCTCCCAAAGCTGTGCTTCCCCTTTATTTTCTCCAAACCTTGCCCCTTTTCAGATTATCTTCTCCTTTCTGGTTATATGCCAAAACTTTCAAGTGACTTGTGGGGGCGGGCCAGGGGCAGGAGGCGAGATGCAAGGGGGGAAGAGAAAAAAAGAGCTTCAAAATGTTTGTAAGAAAATGCATACCGGTATCCTTCCATCGCTGTTGTCGAAAACAATCTCAACAAATGCTGATGCGACCTGGTTCCCTGAACCTTCCTGCAAAAAACGGAAAGAAACATCACACAATTTTCTTTTCTATTTGCACTCTCTTCACTTCTACGTTCTAACGTTTAGAGACTCTTAATTAAACCACCAGTACTTCCTAAAGTTGTGCCCGTTAACAAGCCACTCACCGATCGAAAGAAAAAAAAAAAATCCAACAGTTCATTTCCATTCAGCATGCTTCAGACAAACGGTCCCAGGTAAAACATGAAAGTGTGTCTATCCTTTGGGACATCCGTTAAAATTGAAATTTGGAATGATACAGCGAAGATAGCACAGCATAGCATAGTGTAATCAGTACTTTCTGGCATCGGACCGGTACCGTAGTCCACGACAGCCAAGTCTCTTAACCGCTACAGACATGACACTGTGTACAAAAGTGGAATCACCCCTTCATGGCTGTACCGTCCTCACACACACACACACACACACACACACACACACACACCTGCACG